TCACTTTGCAATTCGCCATAAACCGTACTATGATAATCCATTACGGTATCTGTGATAGTGGAAGCCCATGGTAACTAATACATTACTTTATGCACAGGTGCATTTCACATGTTTTAAGTTGTTCCATTAACAACGTGTCTGTGTTTGCAATCTACTTCGGCTTGCGCACTAATTTGGCTTGGGCAACCGGGTAGTATCTCTCCCTCTGACGAAACCATGGACATTGTTGTGTTGTGTTTTATTTTACTATTTCTGTACCCTCGTTTGAATCCCATGGTTTCTGATGGCATTATGTGTATTCGTAGACTTTTGCATGTATATATATATATATATATGTATATATCTATACTGTGTTTGCAATACATTATTTGTCTTCTTGTAGTCACCGTCTCTCAAAACAATGAAAATACATAACTCATAACAGATCAGCTTGGTGAAATTGTACGAATATGAACAGAGCATCAAAATGTCGTGAAACACTACCTGATTAATTGCAAATAAGTATACCGCGGAAAAGGAAGTCAAGAAATTTGAAAACGCAAAGCTAGTACAGCAAACAGGGTAAACGGAAAATAGAGCTATTGTATGCTCCTCAACGGTGTGAGACATGGACCAAATGAGTTTGCTGATCATAATGTAAATATACTCGGATGGATGAGGAACATTTTTAGATTTTACGAGGTAGATCTCAGAGATGCTTTGCGGCATCCGGTTAGTTAAAAGCAATAAGAACGCGGAAAGTATAGTTTATGAATTAATGTATGAATAGCAAGCGTCCATGGAACCGTCCCCTGTGGACACGCTTCCATGCGGAGTAGTCCCTAGAAAGTTTCATCCACAAAAATTTCCCTCATCTGGCCATGTGCTAATCTACACCAAAGTTCAGTAAGCCATCAGCATGTTGACCGATATTTTTGGTCGCTGTTGTAAGCAATCATCAAATCATCATTGACAAAGGCAATACATCATTCATTTGAACTCATGCTTCGCTAACATACAACCATGAGGACCTATGAAATAAAAAATACTGGTGGCTATTGTGAGTAGTGTAATTTTCGTAGAAAGTAGAAGCCACCATTGAAATTTGCACAACAATCCGCCTCGGCGGGGAACCGAACCCCGGAATAAGGATTAACGGTCCGTTGCTCTACCACTGAGCTGCCCAGGGCGGGCGATCACGTGCGCAGTTTAATACATGACTAATACTTCTTTCGTAACGTATTGCCAATAAGTTCACAGTATCTGTCCTGGTGTTGCAAACTGGCTCATTCACTCATCACTTTCCAATGAACCGAAATATCTGTCCTCCTGATGTTCAAAGGGTGATGGTAGGTTACTGATGGTTATTGTGAGTAGTGCAAGTTTCGTAGAAAGAAGAAGCCACGATTGAACTTTGCACAATAATCTGCCTCGACGTCGAGGCAGATTATTGTGCAAAGTAAAACGTAGCTTCTACTTTCTACGAAAATAAAGAATAATAAGAGGAAGAGAAGGGAGTCTTACCTGAAAAAATTAACGCCCTAAGCAAACATTCAGGGTCAAGGCGCCTACACCATGTGTAGACAACATACTGTGACAACCAGCTGGCTATCGTGGAAATATAAGGCGGCATTGGCGAGACAGCTACCTTGCGGCTTTCACTGCCACGCGTCACAATCAGCCACTACCCAGCAGATAACTCAGCAACAAACACACTTTAAACAGGCAATCCCATTAGGAGACGGCAGCAGACGAGCCGCTGGTATCGTTTGTGAGCCATGTCCTGTAAATCACGAGTCAAACACAAGGTGAGTCACGTGGACTCCAACCCGGAAGACCAGACGGACCAACGGCACCTAGTTTGATCGTCAATTACTTCATTGCAACTGTCAAGTCAACTTCTATTCACCGCGAGTCTTGCGCCACCCTACACCTGGCAGACTAAACAAGGCCCTCCTAGGTAAGCGGTGACCAGGCATGTGTAGCACGTGCCCGAGCCAACGCAACGTATTCAGTGTTTCCTGTTTTTCTAGGGAGTTAGCATGATTATCACCACTTAGTAGTCGTCTACGCACATCATCGTTACCGACAAGCTGGTGCCATCCGACACCAGCAATGCTTCGCAGACAACGATGATCAAAGACTTGAAGGCGCCTCAGATCTTCAGACCGAAGTCTTCAGACCATACAGCAGAACGGCCTTCACTGTGGCCTTGTATACACGGCCTTTCAGACGGAGGGAAACTCCCTTCTGTCGCCAAAGATGCCGCAGGTTCAAGAAGGTAGCTCTGGATTTTGCAATGCGTGAGCTGACGTCAGTTTCTATGCGCCCATCGTTGCTGATACAGCTGCCAAGATAAGTGAAATGACCAATAGTATGTCATCATAAAGAATCGTCTTTTTATGACGCTGTTATATGTTATAAGCCGTCGGAACGCTTTGTTGAACCGGTAACTTGCATGTCTGCTAGCAGCTGATGACCCATGGGTTCAGGTGTTCGGCATGCAATCTACAGATAACGTCGCAGTATCGGTAGCCCGCAAACAAGTGTTGCATGTAGCTTGTCATCGAATAGTTGACACATGGTACCGATGTGTTGCTCATACACCCTCCCCGAGAGAATATCTACCCACTGAAGTAACCGACTTTTAAGCCGATGTCCGCAACGGCGATATGCTTCAACCTGCTCAACGAAAGTTGCTGCACTGATTCACCTCACAAGGAATTTAAGCTAGTTGTAAAACCAAATAAAGTGGAATTGCAAAGTGTACCCCTGACACATCACCTATTTAACCTCCTAAGAAGTAAGGTGTAACTAATTTATTCCACTGGGGCTAGCACGTGTCTATTAATTGAAACGTGATATAAACATATTCCATCTTCGAGAAAATTGGCGAATTAGGAGTTATACACAACACGGTATTGCCAGCCGGCAGACTAACTAGACGTTTGTAGTAAGCGTAGTATAGACTTGTGCCTAACGTGAGTCAATGAAGCTTTCAGGTTTGTGTATGCACTTACTCATTCTGGGTTATGACACCAGAAACCCAAGGAGTGTTGCCTTATTTGCATGGCTTAAGTAGAATCCGGCACAAGTGGATCCAGTATACTAGACGTTTGATTCTATCAGACAACAATACCATCTCCTGAAAATATCCCTTAAGATAACGACACCTGCAAAAATGCAACATGAAAAATAGACAGATCACAAACAATGATTGAACTGAACTCCTATGAATTACTTAGTTTGCCTACTTCCATGATCAGCGGAATGAGTGACCCAGTGCTTCTAGCCTTTATCTAAGACAGGAGTCACCAAACTATTTTTCACGGCGGACCCGATAACTAGAAAAACTGAATGGCGCGTGCGGGATTTCGGAAAAAAATGACTCCCGAGGACCGGCTAAGTGACAAAATGGTTAACGTAGGTCACACAATAATTGCATAAACTACTCGCTAGCCAGAACGAAGTCTCAGGGACTAAAGGCAACGGAAATACGATACTCGTCATTTGCTTTTCTTTTCTACTTAGCTTTTGTAAAGGCTGAAATAAGTGGGATGTGTATACGGAAAATTACTGAATTATAAACATAATTTAAAGGCAGTTGAAACAGAATAAAAACGTAGAAATTGGGGCCACTAAAGAAACACGAATTTAGTAATACCAAAATGTATAGACCCTAATAATTTGCACTTCTGGCGCAATTCCTTTATAACAACCTGCAATTCGTTTTAATTATGGCCCCAAAATGACATGCATAAACTAGTGGCGGTTTATATGACGCGTCCTTCAAGTAAGAGGACTATTCCAAACATTGTGGCACAAAGGTGTGGGGTAAACAGAAACACGGTAGTTTGCGCGAAAGAATTAGTTTCATGTGTGATCACTGACATCAATGTTCCAGCGATGTGGGGTCAATAGTGGTGCAGTAATACAGTGTCACATGTACTAATCTCGGGATGCCTCAAGCTAGCGTTTAAAAAGTGTAGTGTCACTGACAATATGACATGCAGCATCAAATTTAAATTGTATCACAGTGTCTCGTTCGCCCTAGATTTATTAAGCTAATTCGGGTATAGTCGGCGGGCCGGACGAACTAACCTCGCGGGCCGGTTTCGTGACCGCTGATCTGAGAGATCCTGTTCACGACGTTAGGCCACTCAGTGGGCTGACACAATGTGAAGTGTCGGTGAGTGTCCAAACAATAAAGCGCTCGCTAGATAGTTTTAACAAGTTTGAACGGCCGCAAATATAGGGCATAATATTGCTTACTTACACATAATCGTTAACGTAGAAGCTCATGAATGAGCTAAATACTAGAAATAGAGAGCTGGAAGATATGCAAATGCGTTGCGCCATCTATATGGCGTTGGGCACAAATGCGGAATGACCATTTATTACTGCGTCTTGTCAATATGACTCCCTTTCGCGACATTCTGTTCAGGTGCGATGTGCTCTCGAAATCTGCAATCCTCAAAGTGGGTGTATAAGAAGTGCTTGAAGTCAGACACCAATTGCTCTTCGACCATTGCCTCGAACAAACTGCCCCACTATCTCACCGTTCGACACCCGAAGCAGGGGGTGAGCTATCCACTGCCAGTCAGGTACAACAAAGTTGTACCGGTACCCACTACTGCCGCATGAAGTGCGTAACTCCAGAAGCAGCCCCAGCCGAAGGAAAGCACCTAAATGTAAGAGCTAATACCTCATTATGGGGTCCACTCGGAATCACGTATACGACTGAGTATACAACCTTAGACTCTTGCATCGATTTTCGTACGACACGTTATAAACTAAAGATCAATCTGGTAGCTGTAAGTCTAACTCGTTCCAGCCTCTGCAATGCGCCACGGATGATAAGACAATGGGTAAGTTACCGGTGCTCGAGCATTGGTCTTTTTATGGAAGAGAAGATGCATGTGGTTACTTGGTCGCCTGTAACGTTCGTGTACCTCATCACTGTACATACAGAATTGGATAGGCTTAGCACTCGGAGTACACAAACGAATAAAGAAACTCACCTTCTTCATACATTTTCAATTGGCAAAATGCAGCTCCCCTACGCACATGTGCAATCAACCGAGAGCGCAAATTTTGTGGTACTTCGGGAACACAGAGTTTGAGTACCGTTGACGTATCTTCCAATGCCTTGAATAAGTTTCGTAGTTGCAGATGGCAAGCCGCACGATTTGAGTAGGCTCTTTGCGGCCAATCGTTAGGGATTCATAGACAAAAGGCCGGATAATGGAAAAATACCCGCTATACTATAAATGAAAGCTTATTTGAATTTCCTGTATTCCTTTTTAGTAGAGTTAGCGCGATCAGCAGGATAAATGACATCCGATGATGGGAACACTGCTTATGCGCTGCAGGTTGAATCATGCCTAAACATTTTGACACCGATACCTAAAATTTCCGTATCGAAAATGTTGATGTCATAGTAAAGAGTACCTTACATTCAAATGCTGAATAAAAGAGAGCAATTGGTAATGCATTGTCACAAATGAGCTGGTCTATTGTTTTTATCCAACCAACCATCCGATCCATCTCAGGTGTCGCAGCAAAGGTACGCATTCCACGGCATACATGCCACTGCGTCGCAGCAGTTCCGTGTCTACAACCCTGTTGTACCAACCGATTCGCAGAATCTGTCTCACACACTATTGATGAAACTGCTCTGGATGATACCTGACCTCCTTACGGTACGTAGTCCAGGTTTCACTGCCTTATAGAAGAACGAACCGCACCATTACCATTAGCTTTGTCCCCACGCTAACCTGTTGATTGTTCTAGACCCGCTTTTCCAGCATGCCAATTGCGGCAACCACCTTCGATACGCGAATGCGCAGCTCGCTCATCATCTGTAGGCAGGTAGACATTACGCTTCCTATTATGCAAAATCCCGAAGTGTTTCCAAAACATCGTTGACAGTGTGAATTTATGGCAGGCCCAATGATTCCATTTTTGGTGTACGCTGGGAAAGGCATATAGTGTTGATGGTGAGCCTGAATTTGGCCGCTGCTGCAGCGAAAGTCGAAATAATGTGCTGCAACCCATCCGCGCTCCGTGCAGACAACTCATAATGGTCAGCAACGTACAGACGTTTATCTCATACACTAGGGTCCTCGCCCCACAACGACGGATGTTCAGCAACCCACCATCAATACGGTGCTTCACATGAACACCGTAAGCACAAGTAGCATCCAACGCACACGATATGATGGTATGAAGATAAATATCGAACAGGGCAGGAGACAAGACACAGCCGTGCTTCAGGCCAGACAAAACAGTAAAGTCATCCGAGGTTTATCCACAGAGCTACACCTTCACCCGCATATCACTGTGCAGATATACAAATACAGTTACAAACTAACACAGCTTGCTGAGTAGCCGAACAACCACCAGATGATGCCAGCTGGGTGGTTAGAGTTAATCCCGGTCCAGCGAATATTTCCACAGCAGTGTTCCAGTACATGGTAGGTATTCGCCTAGCAGGCGTTCTCCCTATAAAAAGCCACAAAAGTCCGTTTAACAACACTGCGACGTGACGGATGTGACTCATCACTAAATAAAGTCACTGCCTCTTCCCCTTCCGGAGGATCCCTATTTCACGAACGTCATCTAAGTCGACGGGTTCCTTTGGTCCGTTCATACGATGGCGAACACAGCAAACAAACTCACGAATTCAGTCACACTTCAAAAGTTCACTCACCATGTCCACTAACACATACACTTACATATACACAGTCACACAAATCTAGTATGTTATTGGTTAATTTGCAGTATTTTTATACAACTATCAAACATACCTGTTTGTACTATATTCATCATGCTTTCGGAGGCTTGACCAGCAATGCCAAGAATAAAGCAATTATTTATTTATTTATTTATTTATGGAATACTGTGAAAATACGAAAGCAGTGAGCCGGCAGAACAAACAGTGAAAAAGACCAACAACTTATCTTTTAATAATCCTCCATCTTCCAGCGAGTTGAAGGGGGAGAGAAGTCACGGTGGTCAATATGCAAAGCTGCGACCCAAAACTATTGCTTAACCAACCAGCAGCCAGCTATATACCCGCTTCCAACAAAAGCCTTCCCAGGTCACCCATTAGGATTAATCGTGAATTTGGTGTGATTTCTTGCTAATGAGGTGTTGCGTATCAGGGATTATTAACATTTATAAATAGATAAATATCAGTAAGCTTTGTGGTAATTGACCATTATGCGTATTACTTCTAATTCTCTAGCCTATGTAGGAAAAAGTTTGAACCTAACCGAAGTATTTGTTGAAACAAACTCTCAGTGCATGTTCAATGGTCGAAGTTAGTAGACATTACGATCGAGAGACAGATTCGATTGAACTAAGGGATAATAAACACGGCTTACTTAGAGCTACACATTACGATGAATGACAAACACTACATTACGAATGAAATAACCGAAGTTTAAAGTAACCCACCTGATTGTCCCTCAAAGTCTCGAAAAGAAAACGAAAACAACTCTTTACAGCGGATAAAAGCTAGTGAACTTACCAATTAACCGTTTTCCGCCTAAGCCATTTGCATCTGGTTTTATACTTTGTGTAACGCTACCATCTTTTCTTTCTCACTCAACGGGTATGGATTAATGTGGTCTGGTTCTCTGATGTTTGTACGGGTCACGTCTGCCTTACTATATATATATGTATATATATATATGGTAATGTAAAGAAGGAAATCCCGCCTTCGTAAAGGATGTAGTCTCGTAACATTTGGGTACGCAAATATTTTGTTATTCCTTTGTCTGTGAAAATATAGAGATTGTCTTGTTTGTCGGCTGTCGAACAACCAACATGTAATTCTCCATGTTAGAAGCAGTCTTTGCGCAGATGTAAACCGCACATTACAAAATGTCAGTGCAGAGCATATTGTTGAGAATCGTAAACACAATTAGACATAGGTGCATAAGCAATTTGGGATCGTGGGACTGCGCGATACTAATGAGTTTAGGAAAGGTAGGACGGAACGAGGTGAAGATTGGGTTTCACGAAGAAATGAGAAGGTGTAGTCGACCTGTTTGTTAGGGGAAGAGAATATGGAGGGGAATTATGATCGCGAAGTCCGAATGTTCTCTACAAGGTGTATCAGGTGAACAAATGCAGATCAATTGAGCTAATATACCAAAAGAACTTTATGCTAAGATCATGTGAAAATGCAAAATATTAGAGATGAAAAACAGGAATAAAGCATCGAAGAAGCAAATTGCTGATGGCGTATTTGTATTAAAAGTTAGATCAAAGGACAGAGGGTAATTTCATCGCTTATTGCTATTAAAAGTCAAAAAACGCTATTAGAAACAAACTGCGAAAAAATGAAAAAAGCGTAAGTTATACAACACTTAATGAACAATGAACAATTATTTCTCACGAGATAAAATCAAGTGCTTGACACGTCCCGTAGGATGGTTGGGATGAATATGATGAAATCAAAATATATCTGGGTCATCTACCGAACGTCTGCCTAGATGAATACTTTGATGAATTACGTAAGTATAAAATTAAAAAAGTCGAGCGTTAACGTTCAGAAAGACACTGGGGTGCGCTGATCATTGATGTAAAGCGTGAGAAAAGTGAAATATGGTCGTTCACTTGGGTTCATTTGATACATAAGTCTTGTATCAAAGCATGTTTGGCGTAATGCACAGTAGAGGAATTTAGATAACAAAATTCTGGGAGCTAAGAAAAACATCTAGTTGTTTTCTGAAAACGTCCAAGGTAGGGAAGGATACAACTGAGTCTGGGAGTGCATTCCAGGCTTGGTAAACCCGAATGGAAAAGTAATTCCGTCGACACTCTAGACGGCTATATTGTTCCTTCAACTGTAAGCAGTTACCCCTGAGCTGCGAGTTGTGACTAAGTTTCAGCAGATAGCGGCATACGTGGTTGAGGTCAATCAATATCTGATACGCTAATATGAGATCGCCACGAATCGTTCAAGACCGTCCGCTGAAAATTCCCAGAAACTTCAGCCTTCGGTGGTAAGAGTGATAGCGCAGGCCCTTTACGTTCTTTGTTGCTCTTGGTTGTGGTGTTTCTAACGCTTCTAGGTCGCGCTTCAACCAAGGTTGCCAAGCTTGGATTGCGTATTCAACATGATGGCGCACATAAGAATTGTGCACCATTGGGAAGATTGATGGGTCAAATCTCCCGAATGCTCTTTGCAGCATGCCGACGTGCTGGTTGCCTCTTTTCGCAGCTACCTCAGCCTGTTTTGAACAGTTGAGGTCGCTCTGTACGATCACACCAAGGTCACGTTCCTGGGAGCTGGTCTGCAATCCGTTTGTCCCAAGTAAATATGTGTAGTTATGTCTATGGCGTAATTGTACAACGCGACATTTGTCTACGTTGAATGGTAGGGCGTTTTGAACTGACCAGTTCGACACTGTGTTAAGATCGCACTGGAGCCGTTCGTGATCGTCCGGTCCTCTGATCCTTCGCCATATCTTGATATCATCAGCGAAAAATAGGAAATCGGAAGCAATTGATCTCGCCAAATCGTTAATGAACACCAAGAATAGACGAGGTCCAAGAACCGAGCCTTGTGGTACTCCACACGCCACATCGATTGCATCAGACAATGATTCTCCGACTCTCACCTCTAGCCGTCGTTCTTGTAGAAAATTGCTAATCCAACTCAGGATTGGGTCGCCAATGCCGTAGTTCCGAAGCTTCTGAAGGAGAATTCGATGTTCTAAGCGATCAAATGCTTTTGAAAGTCCAGGTAGATGACATCGACTCCTATTCCATCATCAACAGCTTCAGTCCAGCTATTACGGGCAATTAATAGCTAATATTACAAGAATGCTTCTGACGAAAGCCATGTTGCTCTGAGGCTATTAAGTTGTGGCTTTCCAGATACTGCATCAGCGCATCTGCGGTGATTGATTCCATCACTTTGGATAGCACAGGAAGTAGTGTTATTAGACGGTAGTTGGCAGGAGCAGTGCGGCTACCTCCTTTATGAATTGGTGTGATGACCCCTCGCTTGCATACTGGTTAACTATGGATCGCTTCTAGACATCGCTGATAGAAAACAGCCATTGGTTCTGCTAGATCACTAGATACCGTCTGCAGAGCCATTGGTCGGATATTGTCGACTCCAGAAGAATTGTGGATACGTAAGGATAACAACTTCTTCAACACAGCTTTCGCAGTGAAGGT